GCCTCGGCCTGGCCCAACACAGCTCCGGAGATACGACCCAGCCACGTTTAGGGGGGGTCGCCGACAAAAAGTACCCATTCCAGGCTAGATAAGGAGATAAGGGCTGCCAGATCCGGGCCAAATCCGGGAACACAACCTAGGCACCTTCGGCCCGAGGCCTCGGCGGATTTGTTTCACTGTACAAATATACAGCAACATGATCAGGAAAACATGGCCTGACAGATAGCTTACCAGCCTAGAGCAAAGCAAAGACCAACAAATCTGGTTTACTGAACAGAGCTCCAAGAGCAAAACACGGATCATCCCTGACATGGTAGCAGACACTTTGGAGTGCCGCAAAGACACACAGCTTTGCTGAGCGCAGTCCTAGGGGCCGAATTCCCCCACTCAGTGACTTCAGTGTGTATCAAATTGGGTCGTAGAGAAGTGCTGTATGACTGCCAAAGTGGAATCAAGGGAGCAAGGACTTGCGCAACACCCCAGCTGCCCCTTATCGCAACGGCCATCATTCAGACAAAACCTTCCACATGGTCACTTCATCTGGACAGGGGCAAATGTCGAAAATGGTCTTCATGCCTGCAGCTACAGTGAGGCCACAGTCAACACCCAGCTCGAATGAGCGTACATTGAAGTCATGCACCGTGCCGACTATCTCTTGTACAGATGTGAAGTTTGACCATTGGTAGCAAGCAGCGCATCCAGAGCCTTGGACACAACGGAGTGTAGAAGGCAGCAGCGTCGCACAGCACTCAGTACAACGCGACGCATGCATTCCCGAGCCGATGTATGAAAAACACTTTGACATAGGAAAAAGGGTCGCGCCGCTGGCGGGCGATCTGGCACAGCCACGCCAGCCCGCGCCCCTGGCGGAAACGCTCAAGCGTACGATCAATGTGATTGGCTACGGCGGCTACGAAACCCATGCACCAGGACTATCCAGTTTTCTGAGATTCCATGCAGAGCCCGCTCCAGCTTTGCAGCCTGGGAAAACCGCGTAAGGCGGAGGCTGTAGGCCGAAGGCTGCTCTTCAAATCCTTCCACGTGGTGACCTCACATGTATCGCAGTGCAGGAGTGCCCGCAGTGCACGTAGTGACATGTTACGAGCGCTTGCGCCTTTGCGAGTTTGGTTCGAAGCTCGTCGTAGAGAGCTCGTAGCAGCTGCAAACTCTTTGCAAGTTTGTCGGAAAGCTTTCCCCCGCGCTCATGGTGCGAAACACTTCGGTGGCTGATGCTGTCGACTCCACTCTGGTGCCTGGCTGCACTTGGGGCGGCGACGTCCCAGCCGACATGTTGCTGCGCTTGGTCACGGGCACGAGCTGAACGGCAGTGAAGGATAGCCCGCAATGAAGAGGACGTTATGTGGGGAAGCAAGATTGGCAAGCGTGACAAGTGATTTCGTTTGCGTGCGTGTGATTTTTTTTTGTCCCCTCTCTGTTGTTTAGTGGCGTGGCTTGCTTGTTGGGGTTGATTGCTGATGTGAGCAAGGCGCTTTGCAAATGCTTGTTTGACCCAATGCTTGCAGGTCATGTTACTTCTCTGAGGCGCGTGGTAGCCGTCCAGAAGTAGGTCGTCGAGTCGCCGGTGTTGAAAGAGAGCCATGGAATATCCAGACAGCTTCGCGGGCCTTGCCGAAGCGCTTGTTGATTCAGGTGTGGATCTCGAGATGCTGATGTGGCTGGAGTCCCTCGATGTAGACAACATTAGTGCAGCGGCACGCGCGCTTGAAGCCGGTCGACTGCCGCCCGAGCTGTCTGGTTCAGTGCAAGCGTTGCTAACATTTGCCTTGGGGCCCGATGTGGTCAAGCGTGGTGAAAAGAGCATGGGCGAGGCGCCGCCCGCAAAGTTGAGAAGAACCGATCTTCCTGTCGCCAAGCCAACTGCAGCAGGCTCTTTGGCCAAGGCGTTAGAGTCGGCAAGGCCCTCAGCGCGAGAGGCTACGCTCGCTAGCTTCAAGCGTGATGTGTGGGCGCCCAGCAACCAGAAACCGCAGGCCTCTCGGTGGCGGACTTGGTCAAAGGTGTGTGACGCCTGGGGAATTCCGGCTTTGCCGCTATCGCGGGACGGAATCGAAAAGGTGGCGGCCTCCTTCAAGGCAGGAGGGTATAGATCAGCGCGCCAGTACTTTGCCAGGGCTCGCAGAGAGCATGTGCTTCAGATGAAAGCAGAAGTGCCGCCAGATGTGCTGCTGTGCATGAGAGATGCTCTTCGTTCTCTTGAGCGTGGAATAGGTGGTCCTGCGCTTAAGGACGCATTCCGTTTTGAAGAGGTGGTGCTGCCCAGCCCCTTCGAGGAAATTCCGAGTGCCCGTCGACAGGCCGTGTGCATGTTAGTGCTGGGATGCTGGTTCCTGCTTAGAGAGATCGAGATCGCAGCGTTGCAGAGCAAGCACTTGACTGTTGATTGCGAGCGCATGGAGGTGACCCTCACACTAGCAGCAAGTAAGTGTGACCAGCAAGGCAACCTTGTTTTGCGAAAAACATGGATGTTATTGCGACCACGTTCCTGCAAGAATGTGCCCGTACCACAATGCTGTGGCTTTCGAGAAGATTCGCCCGAAGAATTTGGAAGCTCCGCTTTTTCTCAGCTCTCGGCGTCGCCAATCGCTATGAAGCGTGCAGGTGCTCAGGGCCAGGCGATGCTTGAGCGTTTCAATGGCCACGTCCTTCGAGTTTCGGGTGCACAGTTTTTGGCCAGACGCCTCGTGCCTCTGCCTACCATCATGTTGTTGGGGCGGTGGGGCAGCCGCAGTGTCGAGAGATACGTGCAGGAGGCAGCCCTGGAGACATTCTCCTTGGATCAGATCTTTGACCCCTCGGTGCATGTCGCCGAGCCAGCGAAGAAGAAGCGGGATCAGTTGAACTGCGAGGCTGTTGGAGACTCTCTGGCAGCTCTGACTGAGAAGCTCGAAATCTTGGCAGCTCGCGTGGAAGCATTGCAAGAGAGGCCACCGCTCGTGGTGGGCAACAAAGCCCATGCGCGAGACCCTCATGAACTCGACAAGCTGCCAGTCACATGGAGGACAAGGTGTGGCCTGTGGCAGTATGGTTGTGCTGCGTTCACGAGAGCGAGCGAAGCCCCTGTGGCCACACGCTGTCGCCGCTGCTTTCCAGAGTGTGCCGAGCATGGTGAGATAGACAGCAACCGGGAAGAGTCAGGCTCCAACACTTCGTCAGACTCGAGCTCGTCAGACTCAGAGACAGACTGAGATAGTGCGAATAACTTGTACATTGTGTTGAGATGTATTGCGCTGCACGCGCGCTTGCGCCGCACGCGCGCTTGCGCCGCACGTGCGCCAGCGCCGCACGAGCGCTGTGGGGAATGAGAACTTATTTGCGCCGCTCGTGCGTCATATCTTATTGCGCCGCACGTGCGCAGCGAGTGTGCGGATTGGGGACAGCAGAAAGGGTGTCGTGAAATGCTGCTTCCAGCCGAGCACGATCATGGTCATGGTGTGGACAGGAACCAGTGGTTGTTGTAGCTCCGGATACCTTGATTTGCTTTACATTTTGCCAGCGCTTTGCTTGAAGGATCCGTTTCTGTAGCGTTGTGCCCCAGCAGTGTTTCCGTTCCGCTGAATTTTGTGTAAAGTCACAGGCGATGGCGGTCGTGCATGCGTCCTTCCAACAAGCGATGGAGCAAGCGGGCATCCCTCGTGACATCCAGAAGTACATTGTCAGCCGCGACATTACATCAGTTGAGGTGATGGCGTCCATAGCCTTCAAGGTGGAGGAGGTGGACGAAATTTTGGCAAAGCCGCTCGAGTCGGAGTTTGAGCTCCCAGGTGGGGAAAAGATTCTGCTGTCAAAGCTTGAGTTCCCCGGTCCCCATTGCGAAGGCCAAGCTTCGATACTTGTGGCGCAGATGCTTCAAGGATTGCAGCCTTGGCGAAGCACCAACGGCGCCGACACTGCCGGCATCCACACCAGCGGCTTCGGTGACTAAGTCTTCGTCCAAAGAGCTTCCCAGTGGTTACTGGCAGCAGCAAGTCGCAAAGTTTGAAGCTGTCAAGATCGGAGACGAGACCCGAAAGTTTCCGCAAGAGAAGCTGATCGGTGCAGAGACAGTAGTTGCTCGCGTGGTGCACGAGATGCGCGCAGAGAGTCACACAGCTATTGGGCTTCACGAGGTGGTCCAGGCTCGTTACTTTGAATCGTCCGGGAACCCCAACCCCCTATGCGTTGCGAAGAAGAAGCAGAAGGCCCAGGGTGCGATTTTGACCCTCAACTCTGACTATCAGATTGAGACCGAAGCAGATGCCCCGTGGCACCCGAAAAGCGTGCTCTCGTTCGTGGACTGCTTGGACTCCATTCGCGTCCTGATGATCTTTGTTGAAATGGGTAGCGAGTCGGCTGTCTCGAAGTACATTGATTGGTTTGAGAAGCAAGTGCGGTCAAGGACAAGCAAACTGGGGCAGTTGAGGATGTACTGGGAAGCATGTGCGTGGCGGATTGCTCTCGCCTTGAGGTCCAAGAGAACTTTCAAGTCGATCACGGAAGAGATCATCCTGGACAACCAAGCGCTCCAGGACGCTGTCTCCAGGGACGTCGTGATCTTAGACCGTGCTGGGCGTCAACGATTCCGCTATGACCAGCAGGACGTCGACCGCAACGGCAAAGGGAAAGGCAAGACCAAGACGAAGACTCGCGGTGGCAAGGGTTATTGGGACGATCGCGGATGGGAGCGACGGAATGATAGCTGGCGGCGGGGCCCCTACGCCTCCAACTACCAGACCCCATCGTGGTCTTCGTGGCACGGTTCCTCGTGGTCATCCTGGCAGCAGAAGAGCCACCAGTACGGGCAGGAGGACAAGAACTCGCAAAGGGAGTAGGGACAGCGCGGGCCGTTCGACAAAGATGTTGAATCGGACGGACCCGACACCGATGCCAGCTTATCAACAGTCAGATTAGTTCCGGCTGTCGATGTGCAGCCGACCGGGCATGGGCACAAGCGGAAGCAAGAGGATCCGCGAGGACCCCTCCGTCGAAAATTCCGCAGTGGCATGCCACGCGAGACTGAGTCCGTCGACGCAATACTGTTGAGCTTTTTCGATGGCATTGGCACGGCTGCGTTGGTTTTCCAGCAGATCCTTGAGGAGAAATCCTGGAAGGGGCACATGATATTGTGGGAGTCTGACGAGGACCTAGCAGCGTTGACAAAGGAGCACTTTCCGAAGGCAGATCACAGGGGTGATGTTGACAACGAGCGTGTTGCGGATCTGATTGAGCGCTTGGACGCTATCGACCCGGGACGCAAGGCTACTGTCATCATCGCGGGCGGTCCCCCCTGCCATGACTATAGTAGGATTCGTTCTTCCGCTCCAGGTGCTCAGGGTTTGGAAGGCTCGAAATTCGTTCGCTTTGCCGAGCTGGTCAAAGAGCTGGAGAGGAGTTGGGGAAGGCCCCAAGCAGTGTTGATCGTGGAAAATGTCCTCCCACAGAACAAGGCCGACATCAGGGCGTTCGAGAAGGCTTTGGCCGCGCAGGCAGTGATGCACGACTCTAGCGACTTCGGGATCATTTCGCGACCAAGAGTGTGGTGGACACGCGTTCCGTGGCAGCAAGTCAGTCATCGCTCTGATTGCCCTGCCAAACTGCGTTGGTCAACGCATCAGGGAGTTCCTCGCGTCACCTTTGCAGTCCATCCGGACAAGATTGATGATTTCGACTTGGGGGGCCTGAAGTGGCCTAGCGTCTTGCTGGACCGCGTTGGTGTGTTGCCTTGTTTGACAACGCCGTCCGAGAGCCCAGAAGGTCGGCCTGCGCCGCGAAGCAGCAAAGGCAAGGTCGATAGCCAAACTCAGGCACGTTGGCTACGAGACAATCGCAGTTATGCTCCCTGACATTACCAGGATAAAAACATGTTCACGGACAAGTCGGGTGCCTTTCGTCTAGCCACAGCGGAAGTGAAGGAGCAGTTGCACCATCTTCCGTGCGGGTGGACAAGAAAGCTGCGCGACAAGGCCCGCCACCGCGCACTTGCGAACGGCTGGCATCTGCGAGCGGCCAAGTTGTTCTTTCTCTTCGGATTGTTGTCAACCGAGGCTGGGGCATTGCGTCCACAACCAAACCCATTGGGATGCGATGCCATTGGGTGCATGGTGCGTATTTGGGAGTCGGCGCCGCTCCTCAACGGTCCAGGTGTTCCTACGTTGGCTGATGCGGATGATCTCTCTGACATCGTTGACCCGTATGAACATTGGGCAGCTTCTCAGCAGTGTCGGCATTCAGCGCAGCAGGATCCGCGAATCGAGCCAGGGCTTCTGCAATGGCTCCCTGTGTGGCGACACTTCCGCAACGTGTTGCCTGAGATGCGACGGGCAGTGACCCGGGCCGTGGAAGAGCTTGTTGCGGACCGGGAGGAAGAGACAGCGGCGTGGTTCCGACAGTGTCCTCCGCACATTCAGAAGGCATATTACTCTCAGTCAGGTAGGGCTTCTGTGCAAGTACCAGTGATTCGGGAACTTGCTACGCGCCTTGGTTGGAAAGACATGACTATCTTCAAACCAGCACGGCCGAAATCAGATGTTTCCCAAAAGCTAACCGGATGTTTGTTTTTCAGGTGGAAGTAACGGATTTATATATTATATATGTATGGTCCGCGCAAGCAATGCAAAAAAATCCATCACAAAACAAGTCTAAGTGTTTAGGATGGGTATAGATTCGAAAAACATGTGAGGTAGTTCAGTTTTAAGCCCAAGACCCTGCGGTTTCAAACGTCCAACCCTATTCCCCTAAACCCTACACCTTTCTTGAAGACTTGGTTGTCGTGTGCTTGTGGCGTTTGTGCTGTCTTGTTGCTGTGCTTGTGCTGTCTTCGAATTTGCGTGGCGCTCGCATACCTGGCTCGGGTCTCAGTTAGAGTTAACATTTTTGGCCTTTAATTATGGCACAACTAGGGTTAGCAAGCTTCAGCAGCAACGTGCAGCAGCCCGACCACATGACATGTCTACTGTAGCGTTTGGGAAGCGGGCAAGACAGCAACCGTCAATCAGCAAACAACCAGTTCAGCACCAACACAGCAACACCAGCTCAGCAAAATGCACACACAGACTGCCTGCAATACAAACTCTCAAACGCGCGGCTAGCTCGCCCGCAGGACCAAAGCTGCCCGCTGGACAAAATCTCACATCCGCGGCTAGCCCGCAGGATGTATCAAGTAAGTAGCGAAGAACAATGAAAACACATATTCACGTCATCTGGTGTGTTTTCGACCGCACATCATAGCAAAGGCTTTTCTTGCCCGTCCAAGAACTACTGACAAGCAAAACCTCGTACGCACTACTAAACTTGGCCCTAACTAATTCAATACGATTATTGCACACCTGTCCTGTTTTGCTTGTCCTGTCTTGTTGCTGTACATTCAGAAGCATTCATGTAAGATTTGCATGACGACTTGTTGTACTCACGCACCTGGCAGCTCAACAGGGGACAAACTGCACGAGTAAAACAACCGTGTGGAGACATCAAGCACTGCATGATTGTGCCACATGCCGTCTGGGATTCAGTAGAAAGCAAGCGCATCTACGATCCCTTTTTCATCTTAGGACAGCGAGGGTACGAGCGTTTTCAAACTGAGATTTTCTTGGACATATGCCGTTGGTCACCTGTGCAAGCTTTGAGGGCACAATGCATCACTGCCTGTGCACGTGAGTGTGATTGATGTGCAATGCAGTTTTGTGGGTCAGTTTTGCTTGACTTGCGTTTTCCTTCATGTGCAGAAATTTTCTTGAACGGGTTGCCATCCCGGCTTGCAACGCAGTGCTCAAGTGTGAGCGCCACAGAGAAAATTTTAAGTCGTGTTGAGCCTCCGCTACTCCCGTAAGGGTGCCGTGCTAGAGGTTCGAGGTGCTAGTGGTCTCCCCTTAGGGGTCGTGCAAGCCGGGGGCCTGTGTGCTCTCGGTGGATGGACAGCACCTCGAGTTCAGAGGAGAGTTCCCTCAGCGGAGACTGGCCACGCGTGCCTGTCTTTCAGGCGCCTGCCTTTCAGGCGCTCAGCATCAGGCCCCGCTCGTTCCACCTTGATTCACTCGAGCGCAGTCTGGAGGCCCCCCCCAGTCTCTTCACGTACGTTCTTGAGGGTTCTCTTTGCGGAGTGCTTCTCAGTTCCAGGGAAGGGGCCCGCGTGCTCCTCTGGCTCCAGCCTTCCAGTTGGCTTGCACTTGCTTGCTCCGGCCGCGGGCCGCACGCGTGCGCCCGACAGCTTCTCCAGCTGTCTGCATAGTGCCCTTTATCCACATGGCTCAGCCCCCTCGTGCCCCAGAAGATTTGCTAGCTGGGGGTTTGGATCCTGGGTCCCTTCGTGTGCCTGAGGACAACGACCGGCGGAGACAGGCAGAGGTGCCTGTTCAGGATTATGAGGCTCATTTGGCTGCCTGCACTCGTAAGGTTAATAAAACGGGCTATTCTCGGTCTTGGGATTTTCGGTTGAGGCCTTCTTCAGTGCTCTTTACCGGTGTGGTTAGGTCACGAGGCATGTTCCCACCAGTGCCGTCTCTTGTGCCTGTGATCACTCCAGTGACGCCAACCGTTGCTGCAGTCACGAAGATTGCGATTTCCCGGGTCCGTTTGGACGATTCTTGGGGTGCTCACCTTGAGAGGAGGCTTAGTGCTGCCATACAAAAGTGGGTTGCTTTAGTGGTTGAGGATCCTTTGTCTTTTGACGTCGGTAGGCGGTGTGCTGCTTTCGTGGGAAATGACGAGGCGATTTCTCAGGGCCTTCTGCACACTTTTTCCGGCAAATCGGCAGGTACCTTGCACAGCCGTGCTGGGCCTCTCATCAGGTTTGTTGCCTGGGCCAAGGCTCGCCAGCGCAAGCCCTTACCCTTCAGCGAGGCGCTTTTGTATGATTTTCTGCTTGAATCCGAGAGCACTTGTGCGCCGTCATTCGGAAAGGCGCTGATGTCTGCACTTGCATTTTGCAAATTTGTGCTGGGCGTTGAGAATGTTTCTGATGTTCTGAGCAGTGGTCGGTTTGGGGGCTTGGCTCGTTCGATGTTCTTGAACAAAAGGAAGCGACGGCAGAAGCCACCCCTCACCGTTGACATGGTGAAGGCCCTTGAGAGATTGGTGATCTCCGAACGTGAAGGAGATATCGACAGGCTGTGTGCGGGGTTCTTCCTCGTTTGTGTTTTCCTTCGAGCAAGGTATAGCGATGCCCAAGGTCTGAAGAATCTTGCAATCGATGAGCCTGAAGGTTTTGCTGGCCGCTTGACAGGATATTTTCAAGGGGAAGCTTCAAGGACAAAGACGAGTTTCTCGCTGGAAAGGAAGACGGCTCTGCTCCCGATGGTAGGGCCACTTTTCGGCCTGACTGCAGTTCCTTGGTTTAAGACTTGGTTAGGTCTCCGCGAGGACATGGGCATCCCTGAAGGCGAGGACTTTCCTTTGCTGCCGAGTCGAGGGCTGGAAGGGGGTTGGGCTCCGGTTCCCCCTTCAGCTACGGTGGCCGCTGCATGGCTCCGGGGGATTCTTATTTCTCGTGGCTTCCCTGAGGCACGCAAGCTCGGGACTCACAGCTGCAAATGCACGTGTCTTTCTTGGCTGTCGAAGCACGGAGTTGATCCTCTGCATCGGCGTGTTTTGGGGTATCACAAGGCCCCGCAGGATGAGATGATGCACGTTTATGGGCGTGACAATGTTTCTCCAGCCCTGAGGTCGCTGGAGGCTGTCATCCAGGACATCAGACAAGGCCTGTTTTTGCCGGATGTCACGCGGTCGGGTTACTTCCCGACCCAGCCGCAGAGGGAGCCTGGGCCTGAGTTCGTTGAGGAGCCATCGGAATCCGAAGTTTCGCTCGATGAAGAGGACAATGTGCAAGACTTGAGAGCAGAGGAAGCGGCCGCTGATCAGGTTGTGCCGCCTTGGGCTGAACTTGTGGTTCAGGATCCTGATGCTCTGGTTTATGTTCGCCATATAACTTCAAGGAAGTTGCACCGCCTCGCTGACGAGAGTGGGAATCGGCTGAAGTGCGGAAAGGCGTGCACGCGAAAGTTCGAGAGGCTCAGTGAGAAACCAAGGTTCATGGCTGACATGTGCTTGAATTGTTTCAAGTGAGCCCGGCTCAACTGAGGGGCAGCCGGATCACTCGGCGCATGGGTCGTGTCTTTGTGACGCAGCCGGATAGACTCGGCTATGCACTCACCGGTCCTCGCGGTGAAGTTTGATTATGTGAGCAGTTGCACCGGTGCTCGCGGTGCTTTGGCGTGCCGGTCCACTCGGTGAGCTGAAAGTGCTCAGGTTAACCGGGGCACGCGGTTTTGGATGGAAGTCAACCATGACTTGAAAATGTGGCTGTACGGTGCTGTGGTTCCGTGAATGTTGCGATTTGCATACGACAATGCCTTGTGGTTGTGAGTGTAAACTTGAGCATACAGTTTTGGCTGAAGGATCGTGTAGTGCACTTGCAGGACCATTCGCCATGGCCATCACCGAGAGCAAGGCAAACTTTTCTTCCAGGGCGACGGCCTTGGGGTTGGCCGCTGACGTTTTGAAGAAGTTCACTGATGCCGGCATTGATTGCATGAGCAAATTTGCCTTCATTAGTGCGTTCGTGCCCGGCAACACTGACGAGTCCCCTTTTACCGATGCAGTTGCTGGTGTGTTGGGGCGCGCTGCTAATGTGGCAGAGTTGAGCGTGCTGCGCAGGCTTCTTCATGAGAGCTACAACCTCACTGTCTCAGAGCTTCAGGTGCAGGTTGAACGAACGGAAGATTCTGCTCCGAGGCGGTTGGCGGCTCCCGATCGAGCCGATAGGCTTCAGCGGCAACAAGTCAGGCTTGCTGGCTTGAACATCCATGGCCCTACTCTCCCGGGTCATTCGGTCATCGATCGTTGTGTTCAGATGTATGAGGATAATTCTCTTTCATACCTACCTTTGCAATCTTGTCCCTGCCGGGATGATGAAGTGAAGTTCAAGAAGGACCGGGATGACAAGATGCTTGCTGTGGATGGCACGGGGCACGTGTCTCTTAGGTCGCAAGCCGTGAAAGTGGAGGCCGATGTGTCCACTGACCTTTTGCTTAAGCATGCACTTACACGTCGTGGGCTTGCGCTGGACCAAGCTGGCATTCTGAGCTTTTCGGAGCATGAGCGTTGGTCTGAGGCGTTGTTTCAGGCTCGATTTCGGGATCCGCCCGACCAGTATGCCCGCGTCACGCTCCAGCAACTCATCCAGGCGGACAGGCAGGTTTTTGTTGAAGCAGCTGATCGGACCCGCCAGGGGATTCAGGTGGTGGCTTCCGGACGACCGGTCGATCGCATTTGGAGTGACGCCATGTCTTGCAACAATGTCACTCACCTGCTGCAACCCTTGCCCTTGCCTCCGCCAGCTCCTTTGCATCCACGGCCTGGGCCCTATGATGACCGCAGGGGTTTGAAGGGTCGCGGTAGAGGTAAAGGGAAAGGTAAAGGCAAGGGAAATGTTCGTATGCCTGCTGAGCTGTCCGATGGGGTGCCGGTCACCACCCGGGGCTTGCCCATCTGCTTCGACCACAACTTGGGGCGGTGTCAGCGTACCGTCACTAGTGGCAAGTGCGATCGTGGTCTTCACATTTGTTGCATCAAAGGTTGCTTCAAGCGGGATCATGTCTATACAAATTGCCCCAAGCATAAGAGGGAGTGACTAGGCTCTGAGGCGCAGGTCCACGTGACTGATGATAAAGATGTAGCACAGCTTGGTGAGGAGCTTGTGCTCTCTTCTTCCGATGATGAGATCCCTGAAGGGGAGTCATCACCGAAACATGTCCCGTGCTCGGCCTCAGTTCCGCCTCAGCCGCTTTCCAGCAACCCCGAAGCTTTTGCGTCTCAGCTGCTCAAGAAGCCGTGGCTTGAGGCGAGCGATGTTTTGCAGCTTTTTGAGATGTTGCCAATGGCCGCGCCCCAGCGTGGAACTGAGGGCAAGGCCTTTGCTACCGGAGCGTTCGCTCGGGTCAAGGTTGGGTTGCGTACTAATGTTGCTGTTTTCCCTCAGGCGTCCCGCGTCTTTGCATCGTTCGTGCGCCAATCTGCCCCAGGGCATAAGTTCACTTCAGTTGTGGTTTTTGAAGGGGTTCGCGCAAAACCCCACCGTGATCAGCAGAATTCTTGTGTGCCCAATCTGGTGGTTCCTTTGTCGAGTTTCGAGAAGGGTGAAATTTGGGTGGCCACTGACTCTGGCACTGTCTCTCGACAGGTCAATGGCCAGCAGCAGAAGGGAGTTCTCTTGCCCGTGGGAGCCGGGCCCGTGCTCTTTGATGCGCGTCGTGCTCTGCATCTCACTGAGCCTTGGAAAGGCCGCCGTGTGGTCTTAGTGGCCTTTTCTATCGGTGCATTTTCGAGGCTGTCCGCCGAGGCTTCTGCCCGCTTGTCTGCCCTGCAGTTTAACTTGCCAGACCAGCCCGATGCTGTTGCGTTCCAAGTGCGCCCGCAATTGCCGGTGCGTCTTCCCTGGCCGCCTCGATTGCCCATCCTTGCATCTGTGCCTTCGGTTCCCGACATTCCTAAGCCGACTGCTGGTGAGCCCTTGTTCTTAGAGCTATGTGCTGGTACTGCCATGTTGTCGCGCTGCTTTCATGAGGTCGGCGTCCCGGTCATGCCCATTGACCACCAACACAATCGGCACCTTCCGTTGGCTAAGGTGTGTAACCTCAGCCTCACTGAGGATTCGACCTGGGACTTCCTAAGACACTTGATTGACACTTGCGACATCCTGTTTGTGCATGCCGCTCCACCGTGCGGCACATGCTCTATGGCCCGGCATATCCGGCGCAAGGGTGTGTCTGCTGGCCCTCTTCGTTCAGAGCAGTTCCCTATGGGCTTGCCGTCCCTGAACGGCGTCGACCGGGCAAAGGTTGAGGCAGCCAACCAGATTTACACTAAGCTGGGTCTTTTCCTGCAGGACTTGGGTCGTCGAGCTATTCCTTGGTCTGTCGAGAATCCTGAGTCGAGTATGCTCTGGCAGCTGCCCTGTTTCCAGCCCTTGGTGAAGGACAACCATGTCTTCTCCTTCGACATGTGTTGTTATGGGGGGTCCCGTCTGACCCACAGGTCTTTGCTCACTTCGTGCTTTGGGCTACGCCATTTTCGCCAGCGGTGTTCCGGGGGGCATGAACATTTGCCGTGGACACCAAAGGTTGCCCCAGGTGGAAAGGTGCACTTCCCTACGGCAGACGAGGCGGCATATCCGCGCCCGTTCTGCGTGCAATTTGTGGCGCTCGTTTTCCGCCACCTTGGGCGGCCCCTGCCTGCCGCGCCTGCCCCTCAGGTGTCAGCCCAGGCGTCTGCCTCTTCAGCTCGCCAGCCCCGTGGGCGTCGTATTCCTCCTGTCATGCCTGAGTTCAAGCGTGTGCTCGTGTATCAGGTTGCTGCGTTGCCCCAGGTGGATCACAAGCGTCGCTTGCTGCAACCTTTGCGGGATGCCCCGGCGGGCTCCAAGCTTATCTCCTCGACGTCGTTGCTCTCTGAAGTGGGGTTGAGTAGCGCCTCGGAGACAACGGTTCAGGCAGATGCCCTAGTCGTCGATTCGAGCTCGTCTGAGTCAGGTGACACTGTGTCTCCAGTGGGTCCGGATGACCAGGCCAGTGCGTGTTTTGAAGTGTCGCTGGGTGTGTATGCTTCCCCCGAAGAATTTGTGGAAGAATGCCTGAACGTTGAGCATCCCTTTGATCAGCTGCATGCTGCGCCTGATGTGCTCAAACAGTGCCTTTTTGACATGCTGACCAAAGGGCCTGCTTGGGTAGTGGATCGTAGGGCGAAGCTGCTCAAGAAGTGGACCCAGTGGGCTCGCGACCTTGAGGCCGAGGAAGCTGGCCTTCGCAAGTCGTTAGACCCTGAGGTTGCAAAGGTGTTGCAAGGCAAAAGGCTCCTGCTTCTTGAGAAGATTGCGTCGTCAATCGGCTGGGTTGACATGGGCGTTTTCGCTGAGCTTAGGAAGGGCTTTGATTTGGTGGGGCATGCAAAGCACACGGGAGTTTTCGCGCTTGAGCCCAGGCCTCCGAAGCTTCCTAAGGATGACTTTCTTGCTGCCACAAAATTTCTTAGGCCAGCCCTACTGGGTAAGGTAAAATCGTCGTCCGTGGATCGCAATGCGCGTGAGCTGTGGGAAAAGACGATGCAGGAGGTGGAGAGTGGTATGTTGGAGGGACCTCTGTCGTCGCAGCAGCTGGACGATAGGCATCCCTCTGGCTGGTTGCCCACTCGGCGTTTCGGGGTGGAGCAGACTTCTGCTGCCGGGCGCAAGCTGCGGCCTGTTGATGATTTCACCGAGAACAAGGTGAATCTTGCCTTTGGGTCTATGGAGAAGCTGGACTTGAATGCGCTTGATCAACTTATCTGCACCTGCCGCATCTGGGCAAGGGCCATGTGTGGGGGGCATGATTGTGAGCTCGTGCTTTCCTCGGGGCTTGTGCTCAAGGGCCGTGTGCATCCTGGTTGGAAGAAGGCAGGGCATCAGCCGCTTCTGACCACGCTTGATCTTCGAGCTGCCTACAAGCAGTTCGCAGTGTCGGCCGACTCGCGAGCTTGGGCAGTTATCGCTTTGCTTAACCCTGATACGCTGGTGCCGGGCCTTTTCGAGTCGAAGGCGTTGCCTTTTGGCAGCGCGGCCTCGGTGCTGCATTTCAACCGTCTCTCGAGATTGTTGTGGAGGTTGGGGGTTGAGCTTTTGATCCCATGGGGAAACTTTTTCGACGATTTCCCTGCAATGTCACCGAGTGCCATTTCAGACAATACCATGAGTACAATGACTGCCTTGTGTTCCCTTCTCGGGTTCGCCTTTGCTGACGACAAGCTTAGCCCCTTCCAGCCTGCTGCCACCATGTTGGGGGTTGAGGTTGATTGTTCAAGGTGTGATGAGGGTTTGGTGCTCGTAAGGAACAAGCCTGGTCGTGCTGAGGAACTCGTCGTGTCTCTTGAAGAGTTTCTGCGCGAGGGAGTGATCTCTCGAAAGCGTTACCTCAGTCTCATGGGTCGGCTCCACTACACTGATTCATACATACTTGGCAAGTCGGGCCGTTTGATCATGGCTGACATTCGCTCGTGGGCAAAGGGGCATTGTTCCGATGAATTGGTCTTGGACGATGCAGCACGGGAATCGCTGCGTCTGTTCATTGCGCGTCTCCGTGCTTGTGAGCCTCGCCAGGTGCCTTGTGGAGTGGCAAGCCATGTCGTGCACGTCTTCACGGATGGC